GTCCAAGTCCCTTCCAGCTCTCCTCTGGGTCACCCTCCCCCCACTCCCCAGGCCTCAGTTTCCTCCTCTGTAAAACATGGGGCAGGACCCTTGGCTGCCCCAGACCCCCTTCCAGCCTGGCCCGTGAAGCCGGAGCCGGGTTCCCCACAGTCGGGGGTGGGGGTGGGGGATGCCCACGTGGCGGAGGGTGGGGAAGACACACTAAGTGCTTATCTTTAGGGGGGAGGGGGCGGGGCAGGGGCTCCCCTCCCTCGGGATTCCCGATAAGCCAGCTGCCAGCCCGGCATGGAACGGACTGACGCTTCGAGGGTGGGAGTCCCCGAGACAGCAGGGGGTGGGGGTGGGATGCAAAGGCTAGGGTGCTCTCCCTCAGTTTCCCCGGGGCCTCACCTGCGGGTCGCCCCCGCAGCCGTCGGCTCGGCCGGGGGGCCGGGAGGGGCGGGGTAGCGCGCCGTTGCCATGGTGTCGCCCCCTCCCCCAGCCCCTCCCGGCATGCCCCGCGCCGGGCCTAGGTCCCCGCCCGCCCGCCCGCCCTGGCGGACCCCGCGCACCTTGCTGGTGAGGTCCAGCTCGGGCTCGCCGTTGAGCGCCTCCCCGTCCTCACTGCAATCCGAATCGAAGCCCGTGTGGAGGCGGGAGGCGGCGGCCGCGGCGCGGGTTGCGCCCGGGGGGCTGGGTTCCGGCGCAAACATACAGGCCGGCACCGGCGAGCCCATCGGGGAGCGGCTTCGCTCCGCCGCCATCTTCACTCGCTTCGGCTACCTCGCCTGCCCCGCCGCCGCCGCCGCTGCCGCCGCCGCTGCCGCCGCCGCCACCGCCGCCGGCCTCCCGGCCCGCCCCGCGCCCGCTGCATTTGACTAATTTATGCGCGGTCCCGCCCCCGGCGCGCCCCGTCGCTTCTGCGCAGCCGCCGATGCCGAACCGGGGTTTCTGCGCAGCTACGACCCGCGCGGGGAGGGGGAGAGGATGGAGCCTGGGGAGGGGTCAACTCATGAATACTCAAGCAGCATCCCGAGCCTCCAATGGCCGCCTCCGAGGCCTCGCGAACTGCGGGGTGCCCTGAACCCCCCCCCCAAAACAAATAATGATGGAAACGTCACACGTCTTTCTCTCGGCTTCCAGGAACTGTCTTCCCTCCCCCTAAACTATTTCGGCCAATAGGAGTGGAGGAGGATAGGATGGATGCCGCCCCCGTCCTATGCGGAGACGGGAGCGGGAAGGCGGCGGGCCAATGCTTGCAGCCGACGCGGCCCTGCGCGCCCGGGGCGGGCTCTGGTTTAAAGGGGTGCTTACGAGGCACTGGCGACCGATACCAAGCGATTGCTCGGGAGTTTCTGGCAGAGGCCAGACCAGGGCCTGGCACATCGTAAGCTCCTATTAAATGCTCCTTGCCTTGCCTGGGTGGACGGAAAGTATTGCGATAATTGTTCCAACTCTGAGAAGAGGAGAATGACTTCTGCCTGCGCTAGAGTCAGCTGGGGTTCAAATCCCACCTCAGCTACTAACTATCCAGTGTGACCTCGGGCAAGCCACGACCCCCGGCTGACCCGTCTTCACCAGCCAACCACAGGTGAAGCACCCGCAGTGTGCCAGGCGCTTCGGGGCCCTGAAGATACAAAGACACCGTGATAACTCACTTAATCCTCACCGCCCCGCTGTGGAGTCGATGCTCCTAATTCTCCCCATTTTACAAATGAGGAAACTGAGTCTGAGAGAAGGTGCTTTGACAGCTAGTGTCCGAGTCGGAATTCAAACTCGGGTCTTCCTGACTCCACGAACCACCTGTTTGCCCCTGCCTTCAATGGGGGAGAGACCTTTGAGAGGCTGCGTGCCCCCTCATGGATACAGCATTGGACTTAAAGCCATGAAGATCTGGATTCACGTCGCTTGAGAGTTGTGTGAACCTGCACAAATTACTTAAATCACTTTGTGCCTCAGTTTCTTTATTTGCAGGAAGGGAGTAAGCCTCAGTTGGTTCTAAGGGCCTCCCCAGATCGAATGATCTATGTACATCTGTGTATAATATATGCAAAATAAATGCAGTGTTTGTTGGGGTTTTTATGGGGGAGGGGCAACAGGTCGCCCCAATGTCAAGCAGCTAGGAGTGAGGAGACCCAGAAGGAAGAATCAAGTCGTTTAACTTATCCTGCCCTAGTCCTCTGCTCCCCATCACTAGACAACTCCAGTCATTTCACTAGATTGAGTTCTCCTGCGCCTCCAACCATCTTGACCACCTTCCCAACCTGTTCTGGTCCAGATGTGTTCTGGCTCCACACTGTCTAAAGTGACTTGCAGCCCACAATCTTTGTTCCTGGCCTCTGTGCTTGGACCTCCCCTCCTACCATATGTGATTAAAGGAACCCAAGCTCCTCTTAGGAAGGATGTAATTGTGTCCTACGAGGTCTCCCACTTCCGCTCTTTCCTCACTCCCCAAAGCCTTAAATAATAATAATAATAATAATGACTAGAAGGTTTGCAAAGCATCTTACAATATTATCTCATTTGATCTTCAGAAAAATCCTGGACGGTAGGTCCTGTTACTGCACCCATTTTACAGATGAGTAAACTGAAACGGAGAGAGGGGGTAACTGGCTTGTCCAGAGTCACACACTCAGGTCTTCCTGACTCCACATCCAACCCTCCATCCTGGCCCTGCCTAAATAGGAATTCTTTCATCTGGGCTAGTAACAGTTGGAGGTAGGAGCGCCTAAGTGAAGGACAAGAGTGGAGGAATGCCCTAGCTTCAGTACCAGGAGAAGGGGCAGCCTCCCTCTGAGAAGGTCTAGCCCCGGCCTCTGCACCACTGAAGTTATTTGTCCTTCATTCTGGAAGAGGGCCGAGACATCAGGAAGGTGATGCCATGACTTGCAAGTGAATTGGATTTAAGTGAGGCAGGGCTGTGCAGTCACCAGCCTCACTTTCTCCTCCGGAGCCATCTGGGTCCAGTGGGGAGATATAGATCAGGACCACTGGAGATGGCCCGCAGCCACTGAAGTGGGGTGCTATGGAAGGTGGGCCTGGCTAAAGAAGAGCCAGGCACCGGGTCTGGATGAGAGAGTGGGTTGTCATCTTGAAGACAAGGCCATCATAGCATCAGGAGGCACAGGGAGGCCGATGGTCCACTCCCTAAACCATAGGCCAGGGCGGCGTTTCAGATTCAGATTTGGCCAGAAAGCTGACCCTGAACAAAACTGAATCATAGCATGGAAAAGATACTCCAAGAGTATGTGGCACCCGAACCATTTCAAGTTGACTCTGCCAGACATCTAAATACATCAGGTGAGCAGGATGCATCAGGTGTGGTGACTCAGAGGAACTAGTGAAGCCATCGGGTCTAAAGGGCACTGACTCCTCCCAAGCTGGCCTTTGATACCTCCAGATCCCAGGAAGCCCTGTCGGTGCCCTCTGGGCCACCTGTGGGGGACTCACCCCTCCAAGCTGTAATGGTCTTTCTCTCCTCCCTGCCGCCAAACTGCCTTTCCATCAATGCCAACTCCGTCTATAAGTCACCTTACTTTCCTTTAACATTTAAAAATTTTTTTCTTGTGTACTTAGAATTTGTATTATTTACCTTATTTCCTCAAAAAGACAATAAATCCCGAGGGCAGGGACTGTAATATGTTTCCTCTTAAGCCCTCCAGTGCTTAGGACAAAAAAACAGGCATTTCCTAGAGGTTTCTTGAATTAAAGCCAATTTTCCCAGATTGCTGTTTTCTAAGAAGTATCCTTTTTGCCCTTTTCCCTTTCTTTTTGGAGGCAATGAGGATGAAGTGACTTGCTCAGGGTCACACAGCTAGTAAGTGTCTGAGGTCACATGTGAACTCACGTCCTCCTGACTCAAGGGCCTGTGCTTTATCCACTGCACCACCTAGCTGCCCCCTTTCTGCCTTTTTCTGAAGAAGTCATCAACATGAGCTAGACTGAGGATTGTCCTGCTCTTTTCCAACAACTGAGTGCATAAGGCTGTATCAGAGAGGAAACAAACAGCTGTGTATCAAACCACTCTATCCTGGAGCAGAGGTTCTGAAACTCTTATCTTCTGATAGCAGAGTTGCATTTGTAAATGCATAAAATACATCGATTGCAATGGAAACCAATTCTATTAAAATATAGTTAGCAAAATATCAAAAAAAGGAGGGTCATGGAACTCAAGTTTAAAACCGCTGCCTTAGAAAGCTTCTTAATAACATGAAGAGATGTTATTAAGCATCTTACTGAATCATCTATTCTGAAGAAAAGCGAAACTTAAAATGGGCTATCATGCCTCTAATCTTCCTCCATTACAAATTCTCCTTTTAATAAATAGATGTTAAGAAGGATATTCATGGACAAAGCACTGGCCCTGGAGGAGGACCTAAGTTCAAATCTGGTCTCAGGCACTTACTAGCTATGTGACTCTGGGCAAGTCACTTAACCCCAATTGCCTCCGGAAAAAAAAAAAAAAAGAAGGAAGGAAGGAATAAAGAAAGAAAAAAAGAAAAGGAAGAAAAAAGAAAGAAAGATATTCAGTGCTGGGTTTTAGGTTAACATTTTGGAAAGGAAATTCCCTTTGTGTCTCATATCTGCCTCCACCTTCTGTTATGGCCCCTGATAAGTGGGTCCCTGATGTGCAGGCATTAGAAACCTCAAGACAGTCCCCAGGGCCAAAGGCATTCAGCCAGCACAGGGCTTTATACAAAGTAGATACTCTTGACATTTCATAGGATCAAGGAACTGCAGAATTGGAAAGGACTAATCCACGAATCCTCTTTAGGAGTCCTGGCAAGTGGGCATCCAGCTGTGATGACTAGGAATGTGTTATCCCTCCTTCATCCTGCTAATTTCTCCCCCCTCCTTTTTTTGGACAGCTCTAATTATTAGAAAATTTTTGCTTACAATGACCACATGTCCCTAACCACCACCTTGTACAAGACTTATAATGTACATGTTATCTTCTCTGTTAGAATGTAAGGTGAACCTATCTTGTGAGGTTTCAGCAATCAAAATTTATATTCCTTTGGGCAGATCACATTTTTTGGTCAGAAACCCTTTTGGTCTTTCCCTCCCAGATTGATTTTTTTTTTTTTTTGACTAGGTTAAAGAGGTCACTTTCTGCCTCATTTCTTATCTAGCTTTAATCACCAAATGGGTGTTGCCTCAGACAAATTGAGACCTGTTAAAGACCTTAGTTTAAAAAGGCTAAGGTTCCCCCACTGCATCTTGGGCCATCTCCAGTCATTCTGATATCTATCTGGCCACTAGACCCAGATGGTTCTAGAGGAGAGAGTGAGGCTGGTGACTCTGCGCAGCTGTCCTTCACTTAAATCCAATTCACTTGCATGTTATGGCATCACCTTCCCGATGTCATGGTCCTCTTTAAGAACAAAGGACCAACAAGAAAACTCCAAGGTACTTGAGGGAAGGCACTTAGCAAAGTGCCTGGCACACAGCAGGCACTTAAGAAATGCTGGTTGTCTTGTCTACCAATTGGTTTTCATCACTAGTAATTCAGAGTGTGGCAGTGTTAAATAAGTGTCCTTGAGGGGCAGCTAAGTGGTGCCGTGGATAGAGTTCTGGCCTTGGAGTAAAGAGGACCTGAGTTCAAATCTGGCCTCAGATATTTGACACTTATTAGCTGTGTGACCCTGGGTAAGTCACTTAACCCTGATTGCCTCACCAAAAAGCAAAAAACAAAAACCCAGCTTTGAAGGGAAATTTAATACTTTTTTATTCTAGTTTCAAGTACTATGAACAAGCATGGAGCCTCAGAGAATAGCCAAACTGA